AAAAACTAAAACCTATAACATTTTTTTTATTATTATAGGCTAAACCATTTTATCGATAGTAAAAAATAACCACTCAGAATGTACTTCGACTTTTATTCTAATAATTTCATTATTTTGTATAAAATATAATATATATCGATCACATAGGCGTGCGTAGATCTGAATTTCGGAGAGTGCCTACAATTTTTTCGGGCCCTTTTCTTAATTTAGGTCCTCTCTCAACAAGACATGTACGTGCATATTTTAATAAATTATAATGAATAAATAAACATTATTTACATTATTTACTTTTTTTTATTAAATATTCTAATATAAAAATGATAAATTTATAATAACATGCGCCTATTACTTAAATAATTAAACTTATTTTATTAATTGATTATTATAACTTATAATAATCAATGGTGATATCTACAGGGCGTTTCTGAAATGAATGAGGTCATTAGTAAACACGTACTCACTGTGATGGCCCAATGAAGATGTTTTTGAAATTTCAAAATCTGGTTTTTTATATTATTTTTAGAATATTATTAAGTAAAAAAATTAAACACTCTAGTTGTAGTTTTTGCGAAATTCTCACAAGAATCAAGACGACGTATCGTTTTTGAGCTTGTCGCGCGTTTTTCATGCTCGAATCGCCGACTAAAAAAAAATAGTGTGAAAAACAATTTGTATGAAAACACTGCAAGATTAACAGTGGTGATAGTTATTTGTTATAATTTAACATACATGATTAATTAACACAGCGGTTCTCAATCTTTTTAGTACCGTGACCCAAATTTCCCCCGAAAAATCTCTAATGACCCACATGGTTTCACTTTTCAAAAAATAGTTAAAAAAAAAAAATTAATTTAAAATAATATAATATATTTAAATTTTTTTAACAAAATTTGTTTATTAGGTTTAAATATTATTTTTATTATGGTATAGGTTTATAATCAATATATTTTTACAAATTTACTTTAATTAATAATAATCTGTTTTACATTAATTTAACATACATTTCTTGGAATCTGTATAATTTAAAAAACTGTTCGCGACCCATTAAAAATTGACCGACGACCCACCAGTGGGTCGCGACCCACAGTTTGAGAAACGCTGAATTAACATATTGTTTTACATTGTTAAATAATCAAATTACTTAATTTACAATTTTTATCTACAAAAGTTGTTCGATATGACCCCCGTTAAATCGATGTACTTTTCCATACGACGATGTTATAAATTCCATATTTTTCCAACAAATTTGGTATTTGAAAAATAATATCAGCTAGATTATTAATTACCTATCATTAAAAGTTCATCTTTATTAGGTATTCACTTCTTTGGCATAAACTTATTCTTTCATAAAACTCCATAATAAAAAGTCACATGGATTAAAATTATGTTGGCGGACGCCATGCTATGTCTAGGCGATATTGAGTATAGCCTTAGTATAAATTAGATCACTTAAAGTCTAGTTGTGTTATTATTTCATAGTTATAATTATAGTTTACAATGTAAGACAATGTGTTAATTAATCATGTATGTTAAATTATAACAAAAAACTATCACCATTGTTAATCATACAGTGTTCTTATACAAATCGTTGTGTCACACTACTTTTTTAAGTCGGCGATTCGAATGTAAAAAAGGCGCGTAAAGCTCCAAAACGATGAGACGTCTCGATTCGTGTGAATATTTTGTAAAAAATACAGCTAGAGAGTTTAATTTTTTTACTTAATAATATTCTAAAAATAATATAAAAAACCAGATTTTGAAGATGGAAAAAAAATTTCAAAAAATCTCCATTGGGTCATCATAGTGAGTACGCGTTTATTAGTGACCTCATTCGTTTTAGAAACATCCCGTATAATACAACTATAGTATATAGGTATTTTTGCTTTAATGTAGGACCGTATGCATTCTGTTATCTTTGTCGTAGGACCTTTTTAATATGCCAAGTGCGTCTGACATAATATTACTAATAAATTTTGCATATCCCAAGAGCATCCATGTTTTTACTGATAATATGTGTAAAGATCTATAATACTACTTTATGTTAGTTTGCAATCGCATTATAATAATGGCTACTAGACATAAAAATCCAATAAAAAAAATATAAACCTTCAAATTTTCTCCTCTACTATAAAAAAACTCCCCTTCTCACTAGAAAATTTGCCATTATGTTTACTATTTCTACTTATTTACCTGTTTGGTCATGTTCATCAATTTAATTTTTTTTTTTTGTTTTGTCTGTTAACTATATTATTTTTATTTTATAATTAATTATAAAAACTTTTCACGTGAAATTATTATTTCATCACTATTTGAAATTATAAAGGGAGTTTATTTACAGTAAAAATACTTAGAAACTTAATACATTGAAATTATATGAAATATTCTAATGCATGGTTATTAAATAAATAAAACTTTAAATACAAACATTTATTAAAATGTTTCCTTTATGTTTAACTTGAAAAACATTTAAAACTACACTTACCATATTTTAACAGTTAGTCCATGAATTGTTATATTCTGTAATGTGATAGTAACTATCATTGATAAAACAGAAAGAGGCCTAAATTTAACAACAATTTAATTAACTACAATATTAAAATTATTTTGTTCAAGTATTTTGATCTAATTCCAAATGTTTTATTTCTGTATGTAACATATTTTCATTTAATAATTATCCAATATTACATAAAAAAAAAAAATTAATCCTTAATTGTTTTAAATATAAAAAAACCTAAAGAAAACAATTTTTTAGACTAACCTCGAATCTTATTGTAAAAAGAGTCATCTATAATATTAAATATAAAATATTGAAACACAATTTTATTAAATATTAATAAATAAAATCAAAATATTTCATCATTAGTGTCATAGCTAGATCATCTTGAATAATTTTTTAAAAACCTATCAGTTTTAAAATATGTAAAACTCACTTTTGTGTCAAAACCATATTATCTCGGTAACAATATCAATCCAAATATTCATTGATAATTTGAGTATTTTAAAGAAAAGTAAATTTATATTAATACTATCGTAGTATCATATATCCTAGTACAAAATTTAATTTTATACATTTTAGTTTCTTCCCATTTGTATAAAAATTGATAAATACAATTGTACAGAAAAGCACAAGGTACACTATTACGAGTTATAATACAGTTTTATCATAAAATGAAACCAAGTGGATTACTTCTTTTCTTATGTAATTTTTTTCAAACCATAACAATTTTTGAGTGTCAAAAAGAACTGATAAATTATTATATAGAAAAGGACAACAGGAAAATAACTAAATATGTTATATTACGAATACATGTAATCTTGATAATTATCATTATATAAAAATAACATTATTAATAAATATGTCAGTTATTTTTTTGTATCATATTAAACTACTAAACATTTAGTATTGACATAATTTTCTGGAAAGCTTAAAGTAATACTTTAAGTTTTCCAGGCTACAAAATATATGATTTATTTATAAATAACTATATGAACTTTTATATGTTCTCTGTTAGAGTAAGTTACTGTCACATAATTTAATGCGTATAACATTTCCTTACTTGAATTTGAGCATACCTGATCAATCCATACCTTTTTAGTCATGATAACCATAACGAAGTCCTCAATTAGTATGAAAAAATTATTTTTCCTTGTTGTATTTTTAGCTGTGTACTGAACAGTAAACCTATTGGCTTTTTTGTGTGTGGAGAAAGTATTTTTAGTAGAAAAATACTTTGTTTTCAAACTTCAATAATTTTTTAGTAAAAAAGTGAATTAAGTTTTAATTTTAAAAGGACAAAAAAATGGTCAATTTATTGGATAATATACATTAAGTTCATACAAAAATATACCTTCGGTGAAATTTCACAAGCCCCAGTAGCTGTAAATACGCATATGGAATTTAATAGTCATAAGCTATAGAGAAATAGAAATACTTCCACTAAAAAGATTGAAAAAAAAATGAAGTACAACATACATTTTTAATTATATTAATAAATAAAAATGAATTTAATTAGATTACAGCATAATATTAAACATACCATTATTAATTATATTTCAGACTTATTATAATATAATTAATAGTAATTTTACATACAATTAGATTATTTAAATTTAAATGAAAATGATAATAACAATAATAATTTTATACTATAGGAAAAAAATAGATTAAAAATACTTAGTCTCTACAAATATTCCTATAAAATAAGTTAATTTATGTAAATTTGTGCAATGATAAATTATTTACTAGAGTTAAGTCATTGGTTAAATTATTCATTATGTTTTCATGTATTTGTCGACACCTTTTATATAATGTGAATGATTAAATATTACAAAATAAAGTTATCACTAATAACTAAAAGTAAGTATGAACCAAATATTGAAATCAGCCGCGAACACAGAAAAAAATTTTGAAAAGGGGACTTTGAAAAAATGTTCATAAATATCATACTATTCATATTGTATTTATTTTGGGTACTTATTATATTATTATAATTAATAATTTATTTATTAGTTATACATTTATAGGTTAGATAATTTATTTTTTATTCCTAATATTTTGAATGGGTTAAAAATCTAGAACCCCCTGCATTCGTGCCTGATTGAGTTAGTTAAGACAATAAATTGACTACGACTAGCTATTGTTGCGTAACAGATAAACAATCTTCATTTTTCACATATATTAAACCATCTATCTGTACGTCTGCTGCGTAGTTAAGCCATGCCCTTGTGGAATAGTTAGCCACAGAATTGTTTTTTTTTAATTTTAATAGAATATGTAAAATATTTGATTTTTGTTTAACTATTAGGTAAATAAATACTAACTTAATAACTTAAATAACTGTATCTATTATAAAAACTTAATTTTTTCAAATTTTTTTAAATAAAAAAAAAAAAAAATGAGAAATCCCAGTAATTTTAAATATACCTATAATCTACTTTGTCTTAAACTAGTTCTACTATAAAAACTGAATAAAAATACAATAGTATTATAGTCCAATATATATAAAAAAAATATTAAACATAACGAAAATTGAGATTAATTTGATCTGTACCTATTTCATAATACTCACTAGTGCTAAACCACAAATGATTAAATTTATCAGCTGTGGCTAATAAAGAACCACCAATCCATGCACCAAATCTTCTATTACTCGAATTGATAGGGGCAGTTAATTTCAATCTTGTATTTCTTAGTTCCATAGAAATATCTTTATGTAATCTCCGTGGAAACCCCTTTATATAGGTATCAATAAATAAGCAACTTTTTTTTCAGTATACAATAAAAAATTAATAACTTACTTTTATTAAAGAATTTCCACCTGTTAATATAATGTTGCCATACAATTCATTTCTGATGTTTTTATTACACATTCCAGCACTAAGGTGGACAATTTGATTTAGGCTGAACAAAGCATCATTTTTTAAATTAGAATAAAATAGAATTTCAGGAATTTTGAACCTTTCACCTCCAAATTCCTAAAATGAGTCAAATCTATTAAATTATCGTTCAATTTATAGTACATATATCTAGGTTTTAATAATAATTATTTTAAATTAAATCTTATAATTATGTAATAGTAATATTAATAATAATAGTCATTATAAAGTGGGCTACCTTTTTATCTTTAATATATTTCATAAAAAGAATATGTTCCATAATGGTATATGACTTATTCATTGATAAATCTTAAAACTTGAACCCAAACTTGTATGCTCATAAGGTTTTTAAAATGTATAGGTAATAAAAGTGTAAAATATGAACAAATACTTCATAATTATTAGTTTGGTATTGTTTTTTTTTTTTTTATATATATTTCTAAAACTGTAGATTATTGTATTTTTACATTAGATAATTATTTACTATAATATTTGTTTTAGTATGAATAATCTATCTAATTATAATAACGAATTGGAGCATACAAAACACAATAACTTTTAATTAGATTTTAGATTTTTTTTTTTATATATACATAAGTGATAATCTATGGTAATACAATAAATATGCAATAAACATATTTTTTTAATAAAATATTCAAAAAATAAGCAAACATTTTGAATTATGTTATTTCAAATTGTGTGAACTAAAACATTCATCATATTATTTTCATTTCATTTTTATGTGTGTACGTTTAAAATTGCTGATTAGTGATGTAAATAATTACTTGGTTGTAGCCATTAGGAAACTCGTAGTGACAAGTTGGAAAGTTTGATAATACAGCATTATTAAGTGGGATTTCAGCCACTTCTAACACAGTATGCTGAAAGTCTTCAAGAACTGATTTGCACATGTAGTTATGCCAAGAATCAGTTACCTTGGGGAGTATATTTTTTCTTGACCATATTGGTGCTTCTTTTGGTCTTACCGGTTTTTTATTAGAAACGAGGTAACGTGGAATCACATCAATTTTATTTTCCTGAGAAACAAATTAAAAAAATTTCAAATAAAAATTATTTTAAATGAATAGTTAAGTAGATAGGTACAAAGACTATAATTGTACTTACATGAAAGAGTTTTTCACATTGTTTGAGAATGAAATCTCCCCCCATTGGAGAACTGACAACAGCATCAGACATTACATATCCTTGATAAATTGGGATGGCAGATGTATGTGAAGCTCCACTATCAACAATAATACCTGTTGAGACGCTACAAGAAAAAGCTGCTGCAGCAGCGTTTGTGCAAATTATAATTCCTGGCACATTGTATTTTTCAAACATTAACTCCATTAGTTTCTCTCTTTTTTGTTTTAAATTTGATGGCGATTCAGTAAATAAAACAGGATGGAGATTAGGTTCAGTGAACAAGCATTTTGAATAAGCATAATCCATAATGTATTCAAATGCATCCCAATCTTCAATTATCCCTTGGCGAATAATGTTTTTAAGTTCCATGCCTAAATAAGGAAAAATTACTTGAAAGATGCAAAAAAAATTTCAAAGGGTAATCAGTCAAAATATTAGATTTTAAAAAGTTGATTAAAAAAAGTCTAGACTCAATTTTTTTACTGTTGTGCAAAAATTCTAAGCACATACTTTATGTCAAACAATTTATCAAAAAATACAAATCATTCAATTACAACAAAATAAAATTTTTTAAAATAAATTAAATTTTAGTACCTAATACCCATATTACATTTTTTTACATATTTTAATTAATTGTTTAAACTACAGTTAAATAATCAGTAATACCATCAGGTTTAATATTTATTATTCAAATAAAAACAATAATTTAATTTTTAAAAATTATTTGTATTTTTGCACTTGGTATTTGATTTATTTTAATTTGTACATGGAACATTGAAATGTATTAATTGTTAGAATAAAGAATACTAAACAAATATGAAATGTATAAGAAAATGAAATACCCATATGGGTATTTCAATTAATTTTTTTAATTTGAATTTAAATTACAATAGTTTGTATTGTAAGGCTTGATAATTTTACTAGGATTTTTTATCCGATGGTATAAAAATGAGTCCGGACTTATCGTGCTACTATTTTCGAACCGAATTTTTTGTCACGAGTACGTGTTAAAATTTACCTTCACGTGGAACGCACAAAGTGTTGGTGTTAACGAAATACGGTAATTCCTCTTTGATACGATCATTGCGGGAGGTCGACTCCGTACCATCCAACATGCTGCCGACCGCGGCTGGCATGTCCGTGCTTGGCGAATTGCCATCGCAGAACCCGAAACGTATCGAGTGGGTTCCCACATCGAACACTATAGGATCGTGTCCACTAAAACTGTCATGAAACCCGCCAGCACTCATGATTTGTATATTAATTGACGATGAACACCATATAACGACGTGCGGGCAATACGAGACCACTGACAACACTGACGGCAGGCAACGGTTAGTGGACGGTGGATATCGCCGTCGAAATCGCTTCCAACTACGCTCTGCTCAGACTGCTCCCAACAAGACGACTTGCACGGTGGGCGTGGCCAACGGGTCGAACGCAAACACATCGGTTAGGCAGCACGACACGACGACCAATTTTGCAGCGCGGGCGGTGGCAAGCGATGGATGATCTACTCCGATGCAAACCGATTGTAATTCGGTCGTTTGCGCACAAGTCATCCTATTTGGAACAGAGTATATTATTATTATTGTTATTACTATTTTAACATTTATAACTCTGGTGCTGGCTGTTCGAGTTCGCTGGCCATTTTTGACGAATTATAGACCGCATACTTACGCATGCGTAAATGGGTGCGTCTCGTCGAGGGACCGTTCAAACGTCGTGCATTGCGAGTAGACTTAAATGCGCAAAGAGTATGGGGGAGAGTAGCGCATGCGTAGATGGAGGATGCGTCTCGTCGAGGGACCGTTCAAACGTCATGCTTTGCGAGTAGACTTAAATGCGCGAAGAGTACGGGGGAGAGTAGCGCATGCGTAGATGGAGGATGCGTCTCGCCGAGGGACTCGTCGCTGAAAATGCTGTGCGTGCGTCAAATTGTTTGGGCAGTCCACGGGCGAGACGGCCGTGGCCATGGGTCCAAGGCCGATATAATTTATTGTCGTTGTACCTCGGTCGGCGGTACGTGGACTGTGGAACGAGATTGGTTTCGTACGTTTGATCTACGCGTTTTCTGTCGAAGTCCGTGGCAGTCGTCTTTACGTCGTTTGTTTGGTCTGATAACAGTAATCAAGCGTCGATCGAGTGCACTGATAATTCATATTTTATCACTATTTTAGATAACCGATATAAAAGTCATAATATTTATTATAATAATATGTATATATATTGTATATAAATATATAATGGATCCACGGCCTGGGTTGAAAAGAAACATTATTTCATAAATAATGTAAAACAAACGTCTTTTTTTTTAAACGTTTTTTAAATGTTTTTTTTTGTAATGTTTTAAACGTTTATGTATAAAATATTTTTACTCTTGTTTAAAACAATTTTTATAAAAAACATTCTAACCCTATCCAAGATTGATGTCTGATATTATATTATAATAGAGACAAATTAATAAATACAAATAAATAATAATCATAAACAATGAAGTAGTTTTATAATTATGAATACATCTTATCAATTTTATTTTAAATTGCACGTTTTGAGATTGAGAAGGAAATTAGAATTCCAGATTTTAAAAATGTTCAAAATTCTATTTTTATTTTTATAATAGGCATTTTTTATAATATTATATTTAAATTGACGAGTAAAAATACGCAATAACGTTTCATACAACTGTACAAGTAGGGCCATTCCATTCACAGTCAGTCAACAGTTCTTAATAGGCTTACCAAAAGTCAAATATTTATACAATTCCAATTAAAATTGAACTAAACAATATTATTTTATTAACATAGATGGCTATGAACTAAATATATGTAGTTAAATCATAATAAAAAAAAACTAAATACGGCGAATAGAGAAAAACTAAATTTTGTCATGAATTGAATCATTTTAAACCAATGTATATTTAACTCATCCAAAAGTTATGTACTAGATCTAATTTAAATAATTTAGATTTATATTTCTTCATTTACCTCGTAAAATAGTAGATAGAATACTCAAATATTCTACAACTTATGTGCTAATTTAAAATTTTTATTTTTTAATTATAAACTTATTAGTTTAAAATAATTCATTATTATATAATATTATAATACAATACCTATATATAATTTTTTACTTGCATTGTAAGATGTGTTATTTCTAATTTAAACAGATTCATACTTCACTCTGTAAACTCCAAATATACTTAGACAATATTAAATAGTTTCCTATAGATATTTATCGAATATCTACTGCCTTTAAAACAATGTGAACCATACTTTTTAAATTTTAAACTTCAGCTAATTGTTTTTCTATAGTTGTGAATGTTGTGAAGTTTTACTGTATAAAGACTGTTTTACTATTCTATTGGACTTTATACCAGACACACACACATATATATATATATAATCCATGTTATTTTATATTACAGTATTTAAATATATATAATATATATCATTAATAAATCATTTGTAAATATATTTTAGAAATTGGCATTAAGTTGAGTCTTGATATGTATTGTTAATTTTATACTCCATTGATAAATATTCAATTTACTAAATGAGAATTCTCTAAAACAAAAATCATATGTTCAAAATTACTGAATAGTCATAACTTTAATTTATGTTCCAAATATTTTTATAATATTCATCGTTATTGTCAGTCACATAATCACAATGAATATTTTGTTTTTGTATAAACCTATGCATATTTAATAATGATTTCTGATTTTATAAATGTTTAAGATACATGTAATATTTATATCAAAAAAATAAAAGTTGAAGATCCAATTAATGTTCATAAGACAAATAGAAAATGTATTACTGGTTATAACTTCGTAAATACTATAGTACAATATATTATTTATATAATTGTATTCCTATTTATAATAGAAATCTTTAAATAGGAAAATACAAATGTATTTATTAATATAGCTATATCATTCTTAAAAAAATATTAATAGTGTCATAAATCACATTCTAACAATCAAATTATATTTTGATTTGTATCTATGAACAATTTTTATATGTATATATAAAAAAAAAAAAAAAAGAAGTGGTCAACTGGGTACTAAAATTGACAAAATGAAGTGTAAGACCCACAAAGAAAACATAATCTAAATGTATGTCTACACTAACATATGGTATATGCCAAGTCATCAAAAAACAAGAGGTTTGAAGTTTGAATATTTAAAATAGACATTAAGACTTATATAATTATATTTGTCTACTTACTTGAAAACTGTGCGTAGAGGGAAAAATTTAAGATAAATATTAAACAATAAAGAAAGGAATATAAGTTAAAAAGTCATAGAATATTATGTTAAACCATGAACTATATTGACCAGTTTTTTAACATAAAACTTAGAGTGATTTGGCATAAATATGTAATAAACTAAATTATTAGTATATATTCCTGATTGTATCTTAGATGTCTTAAATATTTTATTTTAACATGAAAAATAACAAAACAACTTAAATTCTTTTAATATTTATAAAGTAAATAATCGATTAGTGTTTAAATATTATGTTCCATAATTTTGTATACTGGAATAATTATTTTTCAGATTACCTGAATAAATAGTATAAAATACCATAGTTTAATTTGAATTTCCAAGATTATTTAATACAATACAAAACAAATACATTCTTAAATTATTTATTATTAATTATTATAATTTATACGTACAAAATATTTACTTATTTAATAAAATGTCATAATCCAATAAATATATTAAATCATGAGAAAATATAAATTAAAAATTTGCATTGACATCAATAACTATTGATTAGTTATACATAAGACATGAACAATTAATAATATTGTGTACAAAAATAATTAAAATTTGTTAATATAATTTAGTAGTATAATTTTTAAATTAAAAATATACATATTTAAGTATGCTCATTAATAAAATACAATTATTCCTTAAAAATAGTAATTTTTTTTATAAAATTAATTATTCTAAATAAAATATTTGATGAAAAAAATTATTAATATATAAATATTTGTTCTATATTATTAGTTTATAAATATTTAATGAGAAGAAGGTATATATATATATATATATATATATATATATATATATATAGGTATTTTATTCTCTATTAAAACGTCTTTGTCGTGTACAACTATATTTACTCAGAAAAATAAAAGACAAAAGTAAAAATCTATAGCTATTATTTAAAAAAGAACATTAAAAAATTATATTATTTCATTCATAATCTTAACACATAAATAATTTTTAATCGCCAATAACAATAATTCTAAATAAAAAGTTTAAAATGTTAATTATATCTATATAAATGGATAATACTGCAAGTACATACTCTCTTGGAGTTATTACATACATATGGTTACTGCCGACCATCATCTGGGTATCATAAATAAGATATAACGAATAGACTATTGACCCCACACATGCAATTATAAGTGTCATTAATTTTTCCGGAAATAATATAACAACAACAGATGCAACAAGTAAAATTGTTACAGCTACCATTAAGAAACTACCGAAGACTGTAAAATCTATTTTAGTTTGAAGAGCAAATATTGTGAGACCAAAACAAATTATTGTAGCTAGGATGAGAGCCGAAAGCACTTGTCTAGGATAGTAACGAGACACGGACACTGCTAATAAAAATGATAGAGCTAATGTAATCACAAACAAGAAAATATAGTTATATGGACTCTTGCGGCGTAAATTTTCACTGGAAGCGAGTGCAATTAAAATACCTAAAGTAATAATACTTGTGATGATACTGAGGCTAGGATATGATTTTAAAAGAAGTCTAGTGGGATCATGAAAAGTTGCCATACTTATAAATGCTATAGCGATTAGTAGTTGGCACATAACAATACTGTAAATTTTACTGAAATAATAAAAAAATAATCACATGTAAATATAAATATTCCATAATTTATTATAGATAAGTAGTAATTCAAACGTTTACCATAAGAAGTTTTTGCGTATAGTTCTATTGTCGAAGCCTGCAATGTCATCATTCAAGGCAATTTCATCATCCATACTTGACGTAATAATTATTCACGAGTCTAATGATCAACGAACATAAATAATAAATTACATTATATTCTTACAAAGTTAGTACCTACTAATAAATTTTATCATGTGAATAAATAAACAGCCGACAATAGAAATATACAATGAGACAATTAATTAAAACCTAAACTCACCGAGTAAAATAGATTGAACTTGACAGCTTATGATATGTGAGTAATAAAGACGCGGGTCACGGATCACTTATGAAACGCAAGTAAGCGTCTACTAAGTACCTGCACAAGATATGATAATATGTGCACGTGTTTTTACAATTTAACGCTATACAACTTCTCCCCACCAGATTTAATAAACAACGGCAGTTTAGCAAAGCAAAGAAAATAAAATGAAATTGATGCGATTTGTTATTCCATGATATTTTTAAAATTTAAATTCAATGATTTATCGAATATGAAAATAGATTCTGAGCTAAGACGGATCACGAAGTATATTTCGTGTTATTTTGTTGTGATATTGCTTTGGTATAGGTTTATTGTTATACATTTATTTTACTATTAGTACTTATTACCAGAAGATTGAATGAAATTTTACCGAAAACAATGCATTTAAATATATAATTGTATGATGATAAAATATATTAATAATAATATAAAAATTCTAAACACCCACGAAATAATGGTTTAACACTTTAAACTATGTATAACAAAATAATGAACATCCTAATTCATAGCTTAAATATATAATTTCCCCTAAATTTAAACTTATAAAAAGTTCATAAGAAAATTATGCATTACTAAATATTTTTAGATTTTTAGGCTTCTGCTACTGCAAAAAAATGTGTGAATTTGACGAATTTTATAAAAATTTGAGCTATTAAAAAAATATTGTAAAAACACTTGATGAAAGTCTTAGGTATCTACGGTTATTTGTTTTTTAATTACAACAAACATCAAGAATTTTATGAGGAGTAATAGTCATTTTACCAATGCAGTTTATGGAATGTTGTAAAACATTAAATGCTCATTATATTTTTTTGATATTTTTTTAATTGATACAAGTAAATGAACCATCTATGAAAAACCTTGTATTAATTCTTTAAGTATTTTTACTACACTTTTAACATTTATAAAAAAAAAAAATCAAACTAAATAGATTAAAAAGCTTTTATAATGCTTGAAAAATTATATTTAAAAAAATGTTTGACTATATTTTATGGTGTATAAATACACTTATTAATTTTTTATCACACTAATAAATTAGTGTATAAGTAATTAAAAAGAAGCAATAATATATTAGTTATAAATACCATAATAAATTTAATTTAAATTTAAATTAACCAAAAAAAAATGTTTGTTAAACTTTTATTATTCTTAGTTTATGTATACAAACGATTTTTATGTTTAGTTCATTTTAATGCAGGTATTAAAAATTGGCGTGCGCAATCAAGTTGAGCGTTTGTGCACAAACGAGTTGCAAAACAGGGTGAAGTATGTACTTTGTACACAAACAGATAATGCCTATTTATTTCCATAGCCATCCATTCCCTTTGAATTATCTCACCGACCCATAACATAATAGAATCATTTTGATCTATTCTCCTTAATTTTGTCTACAACTTATAACACTAACATTTTTTGCAATGATAACATTTTTTATTTTATTCTCCCTAGTCACTCCCCTATTCCCCCTTAGTATTCTCATATCTTTTACACTCACATTCTGTGCTTATTAAAATAATTATAGATTTATGTTCAACTTTATTTTAATTTAATCTAGTAAATAAATCTATGAAGGAATCTTGCATTAATTTTTTAAGATATTTGAAATAAAGCATCCTTTTTTAATTGATGTAAATAGAAAAATCCTGAAATAAAAAAAATTCGTAAATTAAAATGTCTATACAGTATACACGTCTAGCTAAAAAATAGTCAATTATATAAACATAATATTATAAAAACGTCAGGTACCTTTAGCTATCAGTTTTAAACTATAATAAAAGAAAAAATTCTCGATTTTCTCATTTTTTCAAATTTTAATTTAGTATTAAAAAAATAAACGGTATATTTTACACAATATTACCAATAAGATCCACTTCTCTACCAGAAAATATATCCTAGTTGACAGTGTAAGCATTTTTAATATTCCAAAAAGTGATGACTGATGAATGATGACAGACACGAAAATAAACAAAAAAACATATCTTTGTAATAATAATATATTCATATCACCGTTTAGAATTTAAAATGAAATATTTATCATAAATTTGTCATAAATCATAACAATAAAACTTATGGAAATATAGAAACTCATTTTTAATGATTATTTTATATGTCGCAACCCATATAAATATTTGCATATCAGATGTAGAATGAAGTTAGCACCCCCCACACTTTGTCCGATTGATTTCAAAATACCACCAAATAATTGCAAATCGAGTTCCCCTAATTGCATATCATCCAATTTTAAGTAAAATCAAATTCCATATTGGGGGGGGGGAAATTCATGTAGCCCCCACTTTGCCCGATCGACTTCAAAATACCACCAAACAATTAAAAATTAATTGCAAATAATTGCAAATCCAGATTTTCTAATTGCAAAACTTTTTTTATATTTTTTCACATTTTTTTTTAAATTAGTAAAAACATAAAAAAAGGTTTGCGATTAGGAAATCTGGTTTTGTAGCTATTAGCAATTAATTTGCAATTGTTTGGTAATATCTTGAGATCAATCAGACAAGGTGAGGGGCTAATTTCAATTAGCGTTAAATCAACGTAGTTTACCATTTTATAGTTTTATAAAAAATTTACAATTTATTAATTTTTAAAATTTGTTTTATATTTTTGTATGATTTGTATTATTTTAATAATTATTTATTATAGATTTTTAACACTTAAGTATACATTAATACTAATTGAATCCTGGCCTTATCAATACATTTTTGGCGAACATGGGCTTAGGAAAGTTGAAATGATTCTTGACAAAAAGATAAATTGTTTTATGAACATATATTTGTTAGATATGTAATATATATACATGAATTTAATGTTATGTCGAAAAAACAAAACAAATTTTAGAGTTACATGACAACAAATTATTTATTTAATATTGTAAAAATTAAAAAATAAGATAAAAAGTCCCAGGAATGTTTTTATTACAGAACTTTGTCTCAAAGTTTTTTTTATTAATTTTAGTTGTAATTGAATTGTAAGAAAATAATATAAAGTTTGGAAATTGATTCGATATAAGTACATAATATAACATAGATCATTGATACAAGAATGTTTATATATATATAAATATTATATTTTATTATTCATATTCAATGATAATAACAATTAACAATCATTATTTAATTTTTCATATGCATTTTTTAACTCTAAATATCTACAAGAAAGCATCCGGCAGTAGAATTATTATTCGTAGTAATATGTTATAAACATTTTTTTTTTCAATTCATTAACATTTTACATCAAGAATATAACTCGTAGTTTCTTTAGATTATTGGGTCCGATTGGAGTGAAGAGTATGATCGGGTGCTGGGAGCGGTAGGGTGGACAGGTATATTATAAATTATGTTGTAATATGGTTGTTTGGAAGCGCTGCGCTGGGTAAATCAAAAATATTTTTCGAAATGCATTATACCTATATGCTGTGTTTACTGCCGGAAACCGGATTATCATCGATAAACACATTTGACAAACGACAGTATACATAAGGACTAATGGATTTTGTACATAAATTATCCGTAGAAAGTTTCCCAATTAAATTATATGATATGTATGTATATATAATATATATATATATTTTTTGTAGTTTTCTCAGGTGATATAAGACACAGTTGCACGCCGTGCCGATGGCATAATATTATAATATAGGATATTATAGAAGTTTAGATCGTAGGTACGAGATGCATACCGTGACTATTAACGAATGCAAATCAGTTTGAATGGGTTAAAACATGATTCTATTTGTTTTTTTCAATACAAATATACAACATAAATTGTATACATTACGAGGAGACTGATACACAACGACGTACGTATATATGCAGAAGAGTGTATCATGTAATAGGAACCACTCAGTTTAAAATTGAAATTGGGAAAAAATCGACGAGAATCTACAGATAATATTCTCGATTTCAAATTCATTATCAGGTAAATTTACTGTAATATTATAATTAACGACACAAAATGGATTTTGCTGAACCCAAATTTGCCGCGTTGTATAAGGTATATAAGGTATACGTATTGTTACTATGTTTGTAGATGAAGACGACGCACGAGAGCATCGTGTCTACATATATAATATTTTATCATCTTATTTAATCGAAAGACTAGTAAAATAATATGATAATCATAGTTTAAAATGTTTAATAATTTATCTCTATCTAATTTATAATTTAAGCAGCTGAAAATGTGGGTAAAATTAAATACCATTAAAAAACTTACTACTAAGTAGTGTTTTACATTATTTGTTGTTATTGATCTTTAATATTGCGTCCATAAATATTCGGTATGTATTTACAGTGACGTAATCGTGGATTGAAATTTTTGCTGAGCTTAAAATGTATCATTTTATCCTCTCCACTCAGATAGGTCAATAGTAAAACATTTTAAATTCACTAAAATATATATTTAATGTATTAAACACTCATTTATATTATAAAAATATTGCATAAAATACCAACATTTGTTTACTAATTCTTCTATTACAAATTTTGTTGAGATACTCGTATTGTCAATGTTATCTGGACGGTTACAAAAATCCAATAATATTATTTTATAAATTATGATTACAGGATAATCATCATATACGTATTTTTCAAATAAGTTACACTACTTTATTTTTAGTAAAGTATTATGTATTTATTATACTTATCTACAATTTGTTTCTAAGACATAAAACGAATTTTAAAACTCGTGTAAAAAATATAATTGGGTTAGGGTATTGATTTTGGCAAATAAATTGTTTTACGCACTTCCCCTTTCTAATTGTTTTTCTATTACGCCACAGATT